AGGACCAGGAGTGCAGGGTAGATTAATGTAAGGACTATGAGATCGTTCTGAGCATAGGTAAATCCCATATCGGGGCTGGCAAAGCCACGGAAGAAGAGCAGCAACATGGGCACGAGAAACATACACTTGAATTGTATAGTGTTCTCGAGCCACATAGAGTCATCATAGAAAGCATCTTTTTGCCAGTCTGAAAGGTTGATCTCTTTAACGACTATATGAGAGACGTATAGTTGCTGTAGCATCCATAGTAGTATCAGGATGCCGTCCATGGTCGAAGCCGATACGCCTTCATTGACCAGTTGGGGTACAATAAAGTTATAAACAGAAGTCCTTCCAGCAGCATCGAGGCCGAAGAGGGGGTAGAGTGACCATTGCAGCAATCGTATGACCGACACTGGACCAAGGATACAGTAGCCAGCCCACATGATCAACGTGGATCTCCAACTCTTAGCTGCACCAACACCAGCGGCCCGGTACCAACGGGGGAATATAAACTGGAATTGTTGCGTCCATTGAAAGAGGCCGACAAGCAAAGAGAATCGACACATTCGGTTGAGCCGACTAGAGGCATCAGCCAAGCCTTGTAACCAATCAACACGAAGACACCAAATACCCAGATCACACAGGAGTGGGATGATAGTCACAATTGCTGTAGTAACAACTAGTACCACAATGGTGCCGTATAGTAGCATCTTGGCTTGCTTGTTCCTACGGACTTCTTCCTTACCAGGCATGGTCGCTCTTCGAGGTGAGGATGGTTGTCTAGGCAAGCCAGTGAACACAGGATTCCTCCCAGCGGAGCCCGGCGAAGACTCAATCGACATCACAGGTGGAGCCAGAAGGTCCCTCAAGTCGGGGTATTCCGCATAGGACTGCCAACCGATATCCCAAAGACTCAGACCGAGGAACCAGGAGCATCGGATTGTCGCATAGAAGACGTAGCATGTCGTAGTCGATGCAAAGAGGTTATACCAAGTAACCGTGTTGCCAGTGAATACGTAATTGAACCAAACTATAAACTGGGTTACAATACCAGATAAGGCGAGGACGACCAACCCACCGAGCATACCCATAGCTTGAATGAAGACGTATAGCATACCAATAGCGAGGAAAGAGTCGGCACGAGGGACCAGTCGAGTAAGTAGTGTCGGTATAAAGGAGAAGGCCACATGGAATATCTTGCCAGTGAGGTAACAACATATGAACAGCAGACCTCGAGGGAGTGAGCTGGCCCTCAATGGCTTCGAGCTCGCACTGTGTCGAGGAGAAATAGACATCTCAAGCTACGTGGGGGACCATGTGGTGTCTCAGAATTGCCCAACCCAAATCGAATCGTCAAAAGGCTTCCTAACGCAACACCGAAGCGGACGATGGCCGAATAAGGGACAATCATATAGTGATCATGCTAGGGTAACCATTCGAATAAAGCAAACAACAATATGACGAATAGTACTAATACTAATGCGAGGATATAGTAGCGGGAAGACTCCAGTATTGTGCGAACATCCAGAGCAGTTGAGGAGACGTAGGGAACGTCCAACATGCGAGCCACATTGGCCATGATGATTTTAGAGTCGTATTTGAAGTGACAAGAGTCGAAACCATGTCGAGTGTGGCAGCCTTTGCAGTGGCGTATGAGGTTGCACAGAGTGTTCTCTAGCATGTGGCAGCCGACCATGGCAAGGTGCTCGGTACTGCAAGTGATGGTCTGAACCAACCCTGCATGGGTGTCGAAAATATGGGAAACCACATCGTTCTCTCCTATAATAGTCACCGACTGGTTGTGTGTGGCCTGAATAGGAGAAAACTCAACAATATTCAACTCAAGAACCAAGAGCGCAAGGAGGGGTCTACCTGAAAGGCTTGTCTCCTATCGGGCGCATACCGATATAGGTGTTTGCTGATGGATTGATACATTCCTGGTGGAGAGAACGCAACGACTGGCTTGTTCACCAAGGCCGCGGCGGCCAGGGCGATACCACCCCCAAGAGAATGGCCAGTGAACACGACGTCTCTAGATGATAGCCGCTCTGCAGATGATTTCACGTAATCGATAACCTGAATAAAAAAACAATATCAGAGAAACTTGCCGCTGAAGCACAGCGCGAGACGGGAGCAACAGTCACTTTGCCGTGCCTAAGCCCCGACTCACTCTAGTAAGCTTATAATCCGCTCGAGGTATACCCATGGCCGAGAGGATCTCTTGCTCTGCATCTAATACCATAGCAGTGGTACCGGGTGACCAGATTTTGACTGTCGGGAAAACAGTGCTGAGCAGAGACGTCACCACTGGCTCTGTCCACATGCGTATATCCTCATTATAGTCACTAGCACGCCAAAAATCAGTCCCTTTGACGGCTATAACGGTAAGATTGTCGTCAACTTGTATCTCTACCCAAAACGGGTCATCGCCCTCCATTGCAGGAACGACCTTCATTCCTTGACCAGGAAAGAAGGTATCAACAACAGCTTGCTGATCTTCTACTGTGGTGAAGTATGCGGCCAAACTCATCATGCCATAATCAGTGACATGCAGTCCCCAAAACTCCTGGTCACAGACAGCGTATCTTGCAATATCAACAGGCCCATGTCCTAGCGAGTCATCTCTAGCAAAACTTGAGCTCATGATCGCGTGGTCAACCGTAATAGTCGAATTCAAGGCTTTCTCCATCTTGATGAACGGCACCTGTGGGTAGAGCCTTTGATTCTCTTGTATAGAGGCCAACACGCCAAAGACCAATCGTACTCCCAGGAAGAGGAAGACTATCCTCAGCCACACACGCATAACAAGCGCGCACCAAGACCGTTCCATGCCATGAGTCTCACGTAGAAAGGTCCTTGAACTCTTCGCATGGGTAGCAGTTATCAAAGGAATTGATGCCTTCTTGATGAGCTGACGCATAAGGTGTGCCCAGACAATGAGACGGGCCCCTCCGGCTGGGATACCAGCGACCTCACAGATCGTGCCGGAAATGAAGTATGTGAGAGTTGCAGCGAGCATAAAGCGGTGGAGCTTCACATGGCGCAAGGAGATGTAGGAGTAAGTACACCACCATACTAGGACCAGGAGTGCAGGGTAAATTAATGTAAGGACTATGAGATCGTTCTGAGCATAGGTAAATCCCATATCGGGACTGGCAAAGCCACGGAAGAAGAGCAGCAACATGGGCACGAGAAACATACACTTGAACTGTATAGTGTTCTCGAGCCACATAGAGTCATCATAGAAAGCATCTTTTTGCCAGTCTGAAAGATTGATCTCTTTAACGACTATATGAGAGGCGTAAAGTAGCTGTAGCATCCACAGTAGTATCAGGATGCCGTCCATGGTCGAAGCCGATACGCCTTCATTGACCAGTTGGGGTACAATGAAGTTATAAACAGAAGTCCTTCCAGCAGCGTCGAGGCCGAAGAGGGGGTAGAGTGACCATTGCAGCAATCGTATGACCGACACTGGACCAACGATGCAGTAGCCAGCCCACATGATCAACGTGATCTCAACTCTTAGCTGCACAACACCAGCGGCCCGGTACCAACGGGGGAATATAAA